CTGATCAATACCATGCAACCCATACCATTAACTGGCTGATTGTAAACAAAAGATTATTTCAGTCGAGTTCCCAAAAGATGGTTGTCCACGTGTCCCTGTAATGACGATTTCTAATAAGGAGAATAAAATATCATATTTACTTACATATCACACACACCTATTCCCCAAAAATCAGCCTTCCAAAGTTGAAGTGCATATCTTAAGTGGGGAAGTTGCTTTTCCTGCCCAGAACAGAAGCATGTACAATGTAGAAAAGCTGCCGATTCCTTTCCTTCTCTTTCCTTCAGTAGCTGCATGAAGAAAGGGGCAGAATCCAACCGATTAATGAGGGGGCCAGCAGTGGAATAGTATGGTTATACCATGCTTTGATTCTTGCTCTACTCAAAATTTAAAATGGCCTGGCAACAGCAGTGGTATTTCTATTCAGACAGCACTGAGGCAGTCATTGACTTCATAGCTCATTATGATCTACTAGATTCCTACTAATCACACTTCACTCCACAGGTGTTAACAACCTTCTCTCTTTTGTAATGGTCTTGATGTTCCCCTAATCAAGCTATCCTTTCTTGGGCAATTTTGCTGCCTGTTAGCTTCTCCTGATCTCTCCTATTTTACAGCCCAATCTTTAGCTCTTTTCAAAATCCTACATCCATACATGGAGTCCAGCTTTCAGCAGCAGCTGCTGCTTCAGCTTTTGGCTCAGCAGCCAAGAGCTGCAGACAATTCAGCTGTGAGAAGTTTAAAACTAGCTTTTGCCTAAGCAAGAAAGGGAGGGTCAGGGAGCTGAAGACTAGGCTCTGTCCCTGCTCTATGCAACTATACTTCTGGGGGGAAAAAAAAAATTTCCCCTCAATTCTGCCTTCCCAAAAATAAGGTCTGTCTTATTTAGGGGCATGTAGAGGTGATAAAATATGGCACAAGAAACAAACGATTAAGTGCACATGGAGAATGGCTACAGCTTCCAGCATCTGATGTAGTAAGAAGGAGCCTGTCTGGTGGCTGAAAAAATGGAGATCTTGATTTATTAAGCAACTTCATCACAAACTTATTCAGTGAAATCACTTAAACCATCTGCGCTGAGTTCTCCATCTGTAACTTGGAAATGATGCTTGGTTTGATCTCTTCATAGATTTTGAGGCCAGATTCAAAGTTGCACAGGCAAAGCACTGAAAATTGTTCATGCTTTTTGTCCTGGTGTTTACCTGTAAGCAAAATGTTTACTTTTAAGATGCCTTTAGCATTTCAAGCACCCTTTGGTTAAAGTGTATGAGGCCAAATTGCAGAATATTTACAAAATGTTTTAATAGTAGGTGGAAGAGCAACACCCATCAAGAACAGGGAATTCCTGAGGTAAATTTCTCTTTTAAAGCATTCTTAACATGCTATTAAGACAACTTGCTACTGAAGTGGTAAAAACATGTCCTAAGGTAGTCCTAGGGGTAGAGACAAAGTAAACTCAATTTAAGTAGTTTAGACCCTGGCTAGTGTTAAAGGAGAAAGAAAGAGCAAATACCACATACACGAACTACACCAGTTCACCTAACATACAAAGGGAGTATCCCCACGTACCATATATTCCAATCAATGCCCACACATATCAGCTGGTTGTGAGATGGTTTCATATTTGTTACCTAATGCTTTCATTTACAAGCAGTAACCACACCTTGTAGTCCTCCAGCGAGTCTGATTTTTGCATAAATTTATATCCGAAGTATTTTAAAAGTCCTTGAAATTTCCAAGTCGATAAATGTAAAAAACAAAAGAAAATCCAAGAAAATTATCAAAATCCTCCTCAAACAATGTTTCCATCTTTTTAAGAACACGCTTTATTGCATTATCATTTAAACTCTAAAAATATTAAAATTTGAAAAAGGAAAAATCTGGGCTATTTCAGACAAAAGGATTTTTAATGTAGGTCTTTGACTGACTTCCTTGGAAGACACCTAAAAAATAAAGGCTACTGCTTCCATTAAAAACTGTATGGTTTTGTGTTTTGAAATTCCAGAATGGATACCTAAATCCTAAAGATTTCTCTAGTATAAAGTGAGATGCGAGTTTTCTTTAGAGTTTGAATAGCATAAAAAGTTAGCAGTGTATCTTTTGTAAATACACCCCTTAACTCAAATGATTTGCTAAACAAGGCATTCTTGCTGAATGCCCCCCAAAATCTACAGTATTAAAAGGAGATGAGTACTAACTTACTATAATCAACATTTGGTATTCACTAACTTCTATCATGACTTTGCATACAGAAGACACTTCTTACAAAAGCAGTAGACTTTTGCCCTGATTAAAGATATATTCTTCTAGTTCTACAGCTCCTAAGCAAATGAAGTCTTTCACTTCAATTACCATACACTGAATGTCAAGTCTCACTTGGAACTGCTGAGTGCAGACAGTAGCATTTGATATGAAGTGAGGTGTCAATTTGGATGACGTACAACTTGGTGTCTATACAGAACCCCACAAGTGTCATACTTTCATATTGCTTGTCATGTCATTGCATTTTAAAGATTCTTTTACACATGAATCTATTAACAACACATACTCAGGTACTGCCTTGAATCAGCATTAGCAACAAGACAGTTAATTGAGGCTGCAGACTGTATAGCAATTCTAACAAAAAAACAAACTGGTCCATTGTTGGATTCTAAACATGGATTCAGAAGAGCAATTTTAGCACAGGATACTTCACTGCGTATCAGACAAGTGTACAAGTACTTAGCAGGATAACACAACTCCAGTCTCTCTCTCTCTCTTTTTTTTTTTTTTTTTTTTTTACCTACTATATGAAGTTACAGCAAACATCAGTTAACCATTTATATGGGATATATAAGCACCCAAATGAATAGCAACATTTCAACCCCACTCTCGACTTTGTATCATAATTGTCTACCTAAGTAATTTATGAAAATCGACTGGGAGCCATCAATTTTAAGGTTTCTTAAAACAGCTTTGAAGTGTCTACTTCACTTCCATGGCTGCTACTGCACCAGAAGGTACTTTTAGTAACAAGGTAAGGAGCCTTAAAATGATGCAAATGCTTAGCACAGGCTGTTTCTTGAGTTAAGAAGCATTGTTTACCCTGAGTTGGAGTAAGTGTATACTCCAGGTAAGTGCACAGCCTTTTTTTCTCTGTGCCAATTTGTTAAAGTTTTGGCATGGGTTAAAAAGGTAGAAATAGCTACTGCAATGCACTATTTTGCTGCTGTTAATTATTAAGTTGTCAAAAGAATCTACTGGGCACTAATTCCCTGGAGCACTTGCATTCAAATTGGCACCTTAAGTCTTGATGTGGGTTTTTGTTGGGGGGGGGGGGGGGACCTAACTTAAAATTTAAAAAAATGTAAAAAAT